TACAATTATTATCATTTTGTTTTCACGGCTCATTATGCATAAAACACGAGAAAGTAGTCCGAGTTTGCTGGATTTAGTTCAGAATGAAATGTTTGTTTTATTACACTGGACTTATTACTTCTTGCAGCTTTAAGCTTTAAGCTTGAAGCTATTCAAGCGCTCATTTTTATAATATTTGAATAATTGTAACAAATTCATATCTTACTATAAAGTAATTTGATACCAAATAAACAAGATAAACTTTCTGTAAGAAATTGGCCCCTATGTACCGTAACTGATTTAAATGATAACTAAGATCAGGTGTGAAAACATTAGGGACCGGAGGTCTCATTAACTATATGAGAACTTCCTCTCTAAATCAGGAGTAAAGTGATTTTTCAAATTAAAAGATGATTAAAAATTGCAGTTCGACATTGTAATGATGTCACGATAAATTCCTTAAATTATAAATAGTTTTATGACCTTTGGAGAGAGAAGACATGAGATAGAGGAAAGAAAGATAAGAAAAGAAAAGAAGGAGGAGATAAGAAATGAGAGAAGTAAAAGGAAAGAAAAAATGAAAGAAGGAGAGGAGTGAGAGAGAGTAGCTTATCTTATTTCTTTCAACCTTTAAATATTTAAATAGTGAGGAGACTAAATGTGATTTAGGAAGCCGCAACTGCTCTAGTGAAACTCTTTACTAGCGCGCGACCGGATATGTCGGTCGTCACCTCCTCAACTTCCGGTCGACTATATAATGCATCAATCAAACTTAAATATTAAGTAATCCTATAATTTTAATTTTCGCTTATTAGGAACCAAAATGCATCGAAAATGCATCCCCCTCCGGGATATCGCTCAAGTGTCGCGTTGCCCTGACCAAATAAACCAAACTACCGTAATTCTAACAAGCGATTATTTATTGTGACATCGTCAAAATGCCGGGCTACAACTTTTCGTCACAATATTCTCAATTCCTTTAGTAATGTCTTGCTCTTGTATTTCATAGTTTTCTTGTGAGAAATAGAGTCGTGTTGGTTATCTATCTGTTCAGGGAAAAATTTTGAATTGATTCATCGTTACTTCAGATCGAATCCTGAAGTTCTTATATAGTTAATCTGGGCCTTCTGCTCCAAATCATATCTGGTCTCGTCTACTGTACACGATTAAAAAAAATATTTAAATGTGTTAGATTGGTCAGTCCTAGTGATAAACCTTTGTAAATATAAATGAAACACTTTAATATAATATAATGAAAGGATTAGAAATAGGAAATAATATAATAATCTTAAACTTAGTTGTTATTTTTTGCCGGGCAACACCGGGCTTATCTCCTGTTCATTAATTAATGTCATGGAACAATTAAATTAATAGCTGACATTCTTGTAGTGCATTGTTGTTTCCTGCATTTTCACATTTTTTAAATTAATTTATAAAAATTATATCTTAAATCATTCCTTTATTTAAACTAGAAAAAATGGCAAGTAAAGTCGTAAAATTCTTTTGTGAATGGTTGATGAGAGGGTTTTACTTTGCATTCTAATTTGAAATCAAATAGCTATAAAAATCTTCATAACTAAAATATGTAAATAGGTAGTAATTATTGGAAAACTTAATATTTATTTGCCAAACATTAATTTAAAGGATAATAAAAAGGAATATCAATGCCCTGGATGACTGAGAAAATTTCCTACACAACGCGAATTGGATGAACACCGAGAGAATCATCTGAATCGTGTATGGCGGTATGTGTGCGGCATCTGCGGACAGCAATTTACTCGGGAAGCTGATTCAGTACGTCACAGACGAGTGCACTACAGTAAAAAGTAATTCTAGTGCAATTACAAAGATTGCACTTACTCCAGTAAATGGAAATTCAGCTTGATTAGGCACGTGAGTAAAAAACATCAACAAACAATCTCTTCTGAAGTAAATTTTACAATTTTTAATAATATTTTTATTTTTTAATAGGTAAATCGATAAAAATTATTAAACGAAAACATACAACGTGATTACACGATTGGTTACAAGGAAAACTTAATTAAATTATGNATAATTCATTTTTTTAAACGGTATAATTCCTATAGAAAATTTCTGCTCGTCTAGTAACAAAGTCGAATCTGCCATTTTTGCAACGGCGTGTTCTTCTATTAATAGAATACAAATGTATAATTCTTCAATACCTATTTTCTTTCTAAACATAGAAGGATGCACAGTTAAATTTCGCGAAAATATACACGTGGATAGATTAGTAAAGGTGGATCTACCCGTCGTCATTAATTCAATTATAAGTGGAAATAAATCAAAGGAAGTCATTTTAATTCATGATAACCAATACGGTAAGTATACGTTTAAGTATGTTAGATTTTCTGTTAAGATTTTACTAAATATTAATTTATTTTAATTCCAGAAAGTAATAGTAACGTTAACAGGTTGATTTCTTTACTTAACAAAAGAAATTTTCGTATTATTCTTATTGCTTTTGATAGTAAAATGAAGGATGATAATTATACAGAATTAGTGCTGGATATAAGGAATGTCTTAATAGAATTTAAGGATGTTTCTGCCATTCGTTTAGTTTTTATAACTGATTATGCTACTACATTAAATATTATTTATCAGGTAAGTTTATATTTAATTCATAAATTAAATTAGAACACCTACTAGCTACTATCTAACGATTATTTGCTCTTATAACACCTTATACTTATGTAACTTGTCTAAAGAAAATCAAAACTGTTAAAGCTGTTGGTACTGATACCGCGGAAAACATTTACAAAGAGGTTTTATTGTATTTAATATGAGTTAATCAGCATTTCCGAGTAGATAAAGTCAATGAACACACGGGATTCGCAACTCGTCAATGAGCTTGCCACGTGTTTATCGGGTTTATTAATTAGTCGCGAGACTAATTAATAAACCCGTTTAAATAACTCCTACTCCCTATCTTACCCTTAGAAATATTCCTATTCTTCTAGTCTTTATTGCCCTAAAATGGCTTCTAAATGCACTAACAGACGTTCTAGACGGATGATGTACAAAGGAACTCGAGTCACGCTCATTCTATTTACTTCAGTGTATCGAGCCCTTAAAATAAAGACACTCTTACCATATATTTCTGCTTTAAAAGGATATATATTCTTCAGAATTTCTTTATTCTTTCCGCGAGTATCAACAGGAAAGTTGTCTCCTGATCCCAGATCTTTTCTTCCTGTTCCTTGTGTTTTTTCCTACCGATCCTCCTGATCCTTCTGTTCTCTTCTTCTTTCTTATCCTTGTCTCTCCTCCTCATGATCATTGTGTTTCCTCCTGATTTCATTCTTATAGCAAGAAACTAGGAACAAACTTGGTTGGATAACGTCACTGAATTTCCTTTCTAAAATTAAAAACATTAAATTTTATAAAGAAGATAAAAAAGAAATTAAATTAATTATTATATAGAACAACATTTAATTGGATAATATTTATTTAAAATCATAAAAATAAATAATTTTTATTATATAAACAACACAAAATTTGTTAGANTTTTCTCTCGAGATGTGTATCGATCACTATTATTTATATGGAGACCGAAAGGAACAATTAAAAGTAAAATAATCAATACAAAGAAAAGACATTCGTTTAAAGAAGTTAACGTAAGAAATAAAGTTAAAAAATACATCATAGTGTTTTAATATATTGTCTACTTTTAAATGCAGTAGACTCCCCCTTATCCCTTATTTATAATTTAAATGAATTTATTAAAAGTCTTTATTATACTTTGCAGATTCATCAACACGATATCCCACGAGGAATAATTTTAATTCTAGTGGTACACGGAGGTTGGGATCCAGCATGGGAGCAACCTAATTCTAAACCTCGTAAAGTATTCTTAAACATCGACGTTCCTACTTATATATTAAAATTAGAAAAAATTAATAATCAACTAATAGAACTCTTCCGTTTTATAGTATCTTCAAACCACAAAAATGCTGTATGTAGTTTCTGTATAATGCTTTTACAGCGTGGCCAAAATGTCGCTTGCCAATTGGAGGTATCCACAGTTCTTATTATTTCAGTTGCAGTAGCGACCCGGAAGTAATTATACCAACCCCTGAACAGCAAATAAAGCTTACTTTCACCCAGGACACTGGAACTTTTCTTAAATTTTTCAAGAATATTGTCAATGACTTCGTATAAAGGATCCGGAAGATCTGGGTGGTGACGATGAAACTTCTTTGAAGCTTCCGGCAGAGACGTAACTAAGGGGGCGAGAATGGGCACGCGACCTCGTGTGACTCAAAGTATATCCATAGAATCAAAAACCAAAACATGGGAGCCAAAATACTTCGATAAGGTCCTGACTTTCAGTGTTGCTTAGTGATTATTTCCACACAATAAAAGAGGGGTCATCGTGATTACTTCCGGTGGTTATCGCGCCTGAAACGATAACACCAGTGATTATCCCCATTTGGTAAGAGACTTTTTGGCTACACTGCATAAAATTCTGTATAATTGTAAAAGTATTTCCATTAGTTATCCAGAGAAACGATATATATCGCAGCAGCTTTATATAATCAATTAATAACATTAAATAATTTATCAGAAGAAGAATCAAAAGATATTATGAGATATAGAAGCAATTGTTCTCCTAATAATAAATCCATTAAGAAGTATTCTAAGTTATTAAAAGTAATTATTAATACAATTTTATTATCAATTTTATAAGCGTTAATCATTAACTAAAAAGTAATTTTCTTCTAGAAACAATTGAATAATTTTGGATTATCATCAGATAACCTTACTTATACTTTATATAAAAATATACCTGTCAACAGCACAGCAGATATATTTATCCCATTGAAAACAGTTACAAATAATTCAGTTGTTAGGGCATCTAAATACAATCCGAAGGAAATTTTTAGAAATTTGACACTTAAACTTGCTGTTCCTAATGTAAGACCCTATTCTTGCTAAGTATATTGTCATATTTTAATTAAATATTATGTTTAATTTATAGTATTTATGTGTTTTAGTATCCACCTTATGTAATTATGAAGATAGAAAACGATGAGGTTAAAGTAGAAGAGGGTCCTCTTATCTTACTTTTCAATCGTCTTTCTGAAAAACTACAGTTTAAGTAAGCAATTATATTGTTCTAATTACCTTTATGTNTAATATATAATAAATTAATAAATAACAGAATTCAACCGATTATTTTAAATTTTGTCAAAAGATTCGAAAATGAAAAATCATCAAAGCAATATAAAAATATTCACATTAATAAACTGTTTCATGCATAAATAAAGCGTCAGAAGTTTTAGATTCAATAATACACAATTAAAAGTCACATTAAATTCCAATAATAATTTATTCAATTAATAATTGTTAGGCAGACAAAAAAATAATATGTTGAAGCATCATCAATAATAAATGATTGTAAGAATTTCAATTATTGCGTGTTTCTAATTCTAAAACAATTTGAAGTTTGAATCCCGTTTACAGGAATTTCTCGTAATCGTATTTGTTGTGTTTAATGTACGTTTAAAACAATAACCGAAATATTGAAAATTGTCTAATAATTTGTTAGTTTACAAATAAATTCTGTGCAAGTGATTTCTAGTTGCCTGGACAAGCGGTAAGAGTGCATACTTTATGTAATATTACAAATATTCAGACTGCTACACTTTAACAAAAAGGAGCCGTGATTCTAAGGACGGATGAATTTAACGTCCGTTTCCCAGATGTCCACCCTGCAAGGTGGGGACCTTCCTCTCCTCTATCTCCTGACCAAGCGATCTCTCCCCCTTCGTGACCCCCTTAGTTCTCCAAATTTTTGACCATTGCAGATGTGAAGTTAAGGGAAGTGGTGCTAATGAGTAGCAGATTTTAAACTCTGCTTACACTTCAGAAGTAACTTTTGCACTTATTGTCCGATTTTTGAAAAAAACTTTCTACGTTAGATTTTAAAAATTTTAAACTTTCAATGCTAAATACAACATTACCATGTGCATAAACTACCACTTTGAAAACTTAATTAAATATCAGAAAAGATATATTAAAAAACACGAAAGTATTGACTTTTTCCCATTTGACACTTAGCACTCAAAAATGTCAAAATATTTTTTGTTATTGTTTCCTGGCTTTATATACATATGCATCATATTTGTGCAGTGTTTGGTGTATTTCGGTTAGCCTATGGAAACGTTATCCCAGTTCAAAGAAAAAGAAACTAGATTTACGTCCCTCATTCTCACTAGCATCACACATCGAAAAGCTAGGTAACGAGGCTACCTAGCATTTCGATTACCTAGCTTTTCGATTTCCTCTGCTGTAACTGCATACCCAGGACTGTACCGATTTAAAAGAAATGTCATTTTCTTTCGACAACATGTCTAGTATACTGCACATAATAATATTTATAACTAAATACTTTTTTCTAAAGTGAATTGATATGTTCTTGATCTGAACTATACATTATTGTTCATGTGATTATAAACTCTTAGTTGCAAATAAATAATAAACTTATTCATTCATAGAATAAGTTTTGAAACGTCCTAAATTTAGAAAAGTAAAAAAACAAAAGCAAAAACAATGCTTTTGGTGTATATGGGTGTGTGAGAGGGTGTGAGGTGCAGGTCAATTTCGCTGGATATGTCAGAACGAAATAACGATTAAGTAAAAAAATTTGAAAATTGCTAAGTAAAAATCGGTAATATCGATAAATCCTGAACTGCACACATTGTGAAAAGAAGATAAATTAAGGCACCAAGTTACTTCATTACTTGAGATATTTTCCATAAAAACTACAGTACACCAGGCATAACAAGTAGAGTTTTTCTCCTCCATCTCAAATTATCGTACAGCAATCATGTAACGATAATCATAACTATAAATATAAGCTTTATGGATGCTTCTAAATTCACAAAATTTTTTTTATAGATGTTGAAATTCACAATTATTCACAATGTCAGGAATATTTATAATTTAGAAATTGTAACAAAGACAAAATAAAATACGGAAAAATAAAAATATAAACTATATAACATTGACACAAACCGGAAAGATTACACACAAATCTCTCGTGAAATAAATCATATTTTAAGAACATTTGATGAAGATTCACAACCAAAATACCATTAAGGAAATGTGTGTGTGACTATTNAATTATATTGTTCTAATTACCTTTATGTTAATTATATATTTAATTCTATTTAATTAATATGTAGATATACATTTGTACATCCGAAAGATAACGAATGGGGTGTTGAAATTAGTGAAGGAAAATGGACTGGAGCTATAGGGATGCTACTTGATAGAGTAAATTACAATAAATAAATATGTAAATTATACATTAAGACCGATTTTGATAAGATAATTTGCATTTTAGGAAGCCGATTTGGCTCCGTTTTTAATGATTACGAAGAAAAGTAACGAAATTATAGATTATACCGAACATATCAGCATTGGTATGACAAGTATTTTGATACAAAAACCTACAGAACCTCCCAGAACTTTTATCTTTCTTAGACCTTTTTCTGCTGAGGTATGAATAAAAATATTATCTTATTTTTTTAAATATATTTATAAGGCTTTAGGACACAATTAATTTTCGTTTTTTTAGGTTTGGTATTGCATACTCCTTTCTATCCCTATTTTGGCCACAATTCTCTACTTTATCAATACTTTTAGCCCCTTCTATCACGTTTCTAATGTCAAACACGATCGTGGATTATTTAAATTCTATAATTGTTTTTGGTATGTTTACGGAGCCATTTTACAACAAGGTAAATATTCTAAATACACCATTTAAGGTATTATACATCTATATGCCCTTATTACTGTATTATGCTGTAATACAGTAATAGGGACACACATCTGTGTGTCCTTATTACTATATTATGGTGTACAAGTGTGCCACTGTTATGTATTATACTGTATCTATTGCCCTATTACTTTCTTTTTATATAGGAGGGATATATTTACCAGAAGCTATATCTGCAAGAATTGTCGTTAGCACAATATGGATATTCGTTATTGTTATAATCGCTACTTATAGTGGTAACCTCATTGCATTTTTGACATTCCCAGAAGCTAGTTGGTTAATACAGTCATTAGAAGACTTAGTTGATAATTATGCCTTGAAAATACTAATTAAAGATGGAAGTGGCTTTCATCAAGAAATTTTGGTAAATATTTAAAACATATTTTAATAATTAAAGAGTAACAGAAAGAACTATCGGGCAAACCTCTACCAAATTCGGTACACACACTGTCCTGAGTGTACGGTTTTGAGTTTTGGAAAAACATGTACTTTAAAATTTAATCGCTAGGGTGATATTTGGCGCTGCTGTCTCATTATTTCGCTTATTAAATACTAATTTCGGATATAAAAAGAGTGGTTCTTAACTCCGGAAATTCGTCAGAAATCGAACGTAATATGCACATTAGCGCCATATATCGCCCAAGCGGCTGAATTTTGAAATAAAATTTTTTTTAGAAATCGAAACCGCATACTCACAGCAATATGTATACCAAATTTGGTTGAGATTTGTCCAATAGTTCTTTCTACACAGAGCTCTGAACGTGTAGTATTTATAATGGTAATAAACTATTACCATTTATGATTTACGGTAATGATTTTTATTCAAAATTATTTAAAATATTATTTTATTCTAGGAATCTAATACTACTATATTACAAAAAATTAAACATAGAATGGAAAATACGGATACAATACAATTAATAGATAACATAGGCGAAGGAATCGATTCAGTTATAAAAGGAAGATCAGCATACATCGAAGAGAAATTCGTACTGGCTAACATAATTAATCAGGATTTCAATGATACAGGAATGTGTAGGATAGTCCTAGTGCCAAGACACTATAAAGAAACATTCCTTTCTATTGGTCTTAGGCACGGTAGTCCTTTACTGGAACCATTAAACAAAGAGTACGAATTCCATCTTATATTCATTTATACAATATAAATTAATTTAATAATTAATTGTTTTATTTTAATTATTCCAGAATAAGGAATTTATGGAATAATGGACTTATCGAATTTTGGAATAAAAAGTATTTCCTGACACGTGACGAATGTTCTATTGTTCGAACTACATTAATGGGTGGTAAACGAGGTGTTGCATTGAAGGACTTGGGTGGTGCTTTTGCATTATATTTTCTGGGAATTATATTGGCATTTTTATTATTAATCATTGAATGGACATATAGAAAATGTAAAAACAATAGGAAAAAATTACAGAAGGATATCTGTGTTCGTATTAATATTTCTGATAGAGAGAATAAGTACTTTGTTAAATAAATTTACTCATTTAGTAGTTTATTTCATTGTATATTTTAGTGTCCAATTATTTATAATTCTAAATTTTTAAGCTGCAATTTTCAATATGCAAACCTATACACGTCCACTGTCGTTTGTCTGTCTGCCTTTCCTTTATTAACCTTGAAAACTGAGTTACATAGATGACTCGATTCTTATTAGAAATATGATAAACAGAGGCAAGACATCACTAAAATCCAAACCTGTAGTCAGAGAGTCTGGATTTTAGCAGTGTCTTGCCCCTGTACATCTTACTTCTCCTGTTAACAAATCCGGATTTTAGTGGTCTTGCTCCTAAGCTTTAAATTTAATCCGTATATTTCGTGTTTAAAAATAATTTAACATTGTTTAAACTACAAATAATATATATATATATAAAGCATTTATTATGTTTCTTTAAAGCAGACTACTCGAAAGTATTTCTTTTATTTGTCTATTGAGCATTTTATTTTCAATTGTCCCACTTATTGATAGGTAAATAACATGAACTTGTCTGATAGATTTATCTGTCAAGTTCATGTTATTTTTTTTTACTGAAGTTTGTCACACGCAAACTGTAATAACACTTTTAATTCATCCTTTTGTTAACAATTTTCAAAACTTATTTATCGATATTATTGAATGTTTTATATCTTGTGTTATTTTTCCTTAACTATATGAATTCTACTAACTAAAACACCTAAACGTGGCTGAGCAAAATCCTTTTTATTTAGGCCTATCAATATAAAAACGGGTGCCTCCCGGAAGGACCTTCTACGGAATATTGGTCCCTATTTTAGTGTTCTATTTACAACAAGTGCCTACCGGGATGAATTTCTACGGGAAATTGTACCCTATTTACAATATATATTGTATTTACCAATATTAGAGATCATCAGAGAGGGCTTTCTGTTACTATAAATTTATATTTTTAATACATTCACTCCATTGTGCACTTAATACAGAAATAATGTAAGTGTGCACGGTTATAAATAATGGAGTGAGAGCTTAATATAGTGTCGCCATCTCTTTATTACGAATCGAACTAGGCATCCCCCCTATACAGATCGCCCAAGTGTCGCTTTCCTTAACTTAACAAACAATTATCTGGCCCAAGGCCCTATAAAATATTCTAGGGCCTTGGGGGTTATATCTTGCCGACAATTGATTTAATTTGAGAACCACCACATACTCTAAAATCGAATAATCAATACTTTTAAATCGGAAATGACGTGTTTTAAATGTTACTGTGACGACATACATGTTTATAATTATATGTATCATTATTTAGGGGATGTAAAGGACCTTTATATGTTATAGTTTAAGATTAAAACAAGTTCATTTAACAATAACAACATCAATGAATTATTTATACCAGAGACTTTATTCACAACTGTAATTTATTACAGTTGCTGTTTTAATTTAAAGTATAATATTATTAATGTAATTTATACAATAATTTGCATAAATTATTACATTTATAATATTAAATTACATTATTTAAAAGAAATTTTATTGAAGAACCGAAAGCATGAACCAAGAGAATCTTCATCCTTATTTAATTATATCAACTGTATGGTTCCTTAACCAAGGTTTGCTATTATCTAGAAAGTAAACGAAGTAATATATTAATGTTTCAAACATTATTGAATTATGTAAAATAAATAATTTTAATGTTAATTATTATATAAACGTACTGGCTTCGCTTTATTTGGAGAATGATTACGGTTAGGTTTTTTCATTTGTCCTCCATGTTTAACATTCTTTGCTTTGTTACTCGTAGAAAACTGTTAATTATCATTAGAAATAATATTTTAATGCATTTTTTTAAATTAAAATCATATAAAATTCATTATTAGAATTACAGAGAATAAATTAATGTATTAGAGATTAAATTATTTTAGAAAATATTCAGTAAAATCTCCAATAACAGTCACTATTTCAGTGCATAACCTGCTAATAACGGACATTTCTTTGTTTTCTCCAGTGGACGTTGTTAAGAGGTTTTGCTGTACAGTCGACCCCCCTATAACACTGTTGATAATTCCGTTTTATATGAATTCCATGTTGTACGAGTCACTTAGATTTTACAAGTACGTGAGCCGTTCACAACCCAGCACACGTATTTGTAAAATCTAAGTGACTCGTACAACATGAAATTCATATAAAACGAAATTATCAACAGTGTTATAGGGAGGGTCGACTATGTTTACAATACTAAGCATTGGACTAATATATTAATACTTACATCTTGACGGCTCTTAACATTGGATTTTCTTGCCTTACGTTTCTCCAGCATTTTTTTTATTTCTTCATTATCCTTGTTCAATGCATTCTATTTATTAAATTAAAACGATATTTTAATTAATTAAAATAAAATATTTTAAGATCACAATGAAGAATCACTTACACCTTTGACGGCCTCTCTCAATATCCTCTTTCTGAGTGTAACTAATTGCTTGTTTAATTCCTTCACCTGTTAATTAAATATACACGTCAAATTAGTTTTAAAAAATTCTATATATTAGTGTTATACGTGTTAATTAAAAGTTATACAGTTAACATTTAATTAATTTCTAATTGGAAAAGATTGAGAGATCGGATGAGGAAGGATTTAAAAGAATACAGTAAAGTGGAGAGACATTAATTAAGAAACAATAGAAAGAAGTATAGAAGTCTGATACGTTGGAACAGGGGATAGAAATTGATTATATTAAATACACTTGCATCTTCATCTTCAGATCTTCCTTCTGCGTGTAAAGATCTCACTTTTTCCTCTAATTTACGTATAGCCTGTAAATTATACAGTTATAATTCAGAAAATGATGATAAAACAATAAAGATCTCTTCTATTTTCTAGAAATGATAATACAGTCGACCCCCCTATAGCATTGTTGATTTTTCCGTTTTATATGAATTCCATATTGTACGAGTCACTTAGATTTTACAAATACGTGAGCTATTCACAGCCCAGCACACGAATTTGTAAAATCTAAGTGACTCGTACAAAATGGAATTCATATAAAACAGAAAAATCAACAGTGTTATAGCGGGGTCGACTGTACCTTTACTTCTTCGGAATCCTTTTTCTGACTTCTTTTTCGGTGATGAATAGCGATAAGTTTTTCATCGGCATCATCTACAACCTATAAATTAAAAAAAAAATTATCGGTTAACTGAATTTCGGGCAACCCTACTTTAAATATAAAATAATATTTTTCTAACCTTTCTACCATATTTCTTTGTAGCTTCAGCATGCATCTGTTCTTTCTTCTTGCGTAACCTTTGTTTCATTTCGGCTTTTGAGGGCATGACCTATTAAAGAAGATAATATTTGTTACGTAGTCGTGTCAAGTGATTAATTACGAACAATTAAAACTAAACAATAACAATATACTTACGCTTTCTTCGGCATCTCTTAAGTAAGGTTTCATTTTCTTTTCCATCTCGTTTAACATCTATAAATTAATATAACATTACACGTTAATTTTACATACAAAAACAATACAAAAGAAAAATATACACGTACACCCTTGACATGTTCTTTATTGACAGATGTTTTTTCAGCCGAGGGTGCGATCTAGAAATAAAAATAATATATATATGTATATATTATACTTTAATACACAAAAATTCGTAATATAGAAGACCCTCGATATAGTGAATTATCAAACGATCATTCGCTATTTCGAGTTGACTATATAAAGTAGCGTGATTACGAATTAACACGTAGGGTGGTCCAAAAGTCAGTTGACCGACGGTTAACTGACTTTTGGACATCCTTGTGTTATAAATTCGATGTTGTGACGTAAATAATTGTTATCCTAACGTTTGCTGCATCTTGTCCGACTTCTGAAGATGCTTCTTCTCTTCCAGGACGTGTGCGCCTGATCTGTTTTAATTACAGTTAAATGTAATTACAATATTAATTAATAAATTAATTAAAAAAACAATATGTCTTAATTACTTTATCGGGTTTTGCATCCTCGTTTCTCCCATAATTGCCTTCGCAGATCGCTGAAAATATATACAAAAGTTCACACGTAAATTATTATTTAAATTATATAAAACTATAGGCTTTAAAATATGCCGAATTTACCGCTGATGGAGAGAAATAGCAGGAAAACTAATGAGGTATTCATGTTCATCCTTTGCTCTGTTCGATGACTACTCGATTAATTAACGAAATGGGCATTCTTTTATTATGTTCAACACCTGTTCTTGCAATTGGGAAGGCGTTTACTATTGTCAATTGCCTGTCAACTTTGGTGTCTGGTGTTCAAGTTTTGCTCTAATTCTGTCATGTGCTTTGTTTAGTAGTGTTTACAACAGCCGTAATTTTCAAAATATGAAGCTTTTTTTTAAATAAATTATTATAGAAGTTTGTAATATCTCTTTTTTATACACATAAAACACCTTAAGTTAGAGTTATATGATTTGTTTTCAGGGAAGTCGTGAGTTTGTGAGGGGCGTGAGGACATTTCTGTAATTATTTTTAATATAAATTAACAAGTAAAATGCTCGTTTAGTAGCCTTAAAGAGTTTATATTTTGTTAATAAAGATCATATTAATTATTTTATGGGGTAGGAAGCACATACTGTTATAAATTTTCCCTAAGAAGTTTTCTGTGTATTCAGGGAAAAATCCCTTACTTCTTCCTCTTCATGATCCTGTTTGTATTAAATATTGTTCAGATTTTTTACAGTAATTAATGTAGAAAAATATAAAAGAGTATTTTTATTATATAAATCTCATTAAGTATTATATAACTTATAATCAGTGAGTGTTTTATGAGTTAATAATGAGAAATTAATTAAAAAGTAATTAAAATTTTCTCTTTTTTATTATGAAAATAATAGGATTTAAATAGACATTTTATAAAGTAATTATTATTAATTAACGAATTTTATGTTATTTAAAATGACAAGACGTTTTATGGTTTAACATAAAATTCGCTTGTAATAAAGACACGTGTACTTAACGAAGCGTTTAACCACCCACACATTCATTTTTAAACGTTAAATATTTTAGTTTTAAATATATATTTTTTAAATTATAAAAGAAGTTTTTCTAAAATAGTAGCAAATATGACGTGTTGCACAGACGAATAGAGATAATAATTATAATTTAAACAATATATAAAGTTTGGTTGATATTGTTTGAAGGGTTTAGGGGTTAAAAACATGTGCTGTCTGTCTGTGTGTCTGTTTACAAGTTCGTTATTTAAACCATACTTTCTTACAGGCCTATATATATATAATAACTATACTTAATATAATTATAATTATTATATAAAGTAGAGGAGTGGGTTCTAGTCTACTACATTGCATCTGTTATACGAAGCCTCTACACTTAAATTGCTTATAAAAGTATATAAATATAAAAATATTTAATAATTATCTGTACAGTAAACAAGCTTATTTACAAATGTACGGTAGGTCACACGTTTTATTTTCAATAATTAGGTTAATTTTGAACACATTTTCGTATAGATGTGTGTGCCTTATGTACAAGAGCACAAAGTTAACTAATATAATCTTTAATAATTATATTTTAAAACACACGTGACTTAAGATACAGACCGGTAGTTCGTATATAGTCAATTCAATGTCAGGCCCGTAACCTCTGAATTATTGCAAGGTGTGTGGAATAATTGGATCACCTGTCTGGTCATCGAATATACATGAACATTCATTTGTCAATAGTACACGACATATGGAACATCCCTTATAGTATTACTTTTGTATTTTTCTTGTATATTTATTGTACATTTTCTAATTTATTATAAAATGTTACGAGGTAAAGCAAATAACAATTCTGCAATTCATTCATATTTATTTAGATATGTCATAAAGGTACAGTTATTAATCCATTAACATCTCCAATGGTTTAGAGATCAAAGGGGAGATCCAAAATTCTGTAAAATATAAACATATTGTATAATATATAATATAATATTTCCGATTAAAAAACAATGAATAAGTCATATAATTGGTTAATTAACTTATAAATTCGTAAATAAATAGTAAAAATACTATTTTATGTATAAGTGACATACATAAAGTGTGTATACAAGGGTGAGTGATGCTGTATATAAAGCATTTATAGAAGTGTGGGTGATAATTTTAGCCAGGTATTTCTTATAATTAGACTAGAACAAGTGTATTTATATTTTAAAATATATTATTTAAAACATACTTATCGATTGAAAATGTGTCATTGAGTAATATTCTTTCGGTAGTAGTCGATTGATTAGCATTTATGTAAGTCATATTGTATTCATCAGTGGAATTAGAGCGAAATATTATAAATATTATATTCACATTCTTTTCCACGTCCTATAAAATATTTTTTATAAAATTTTAAAATATTCCTTTTATATTTTTAAAACATTTTATCGGATTTCTTACAATTTCTGTTCCGTTTTCTTCTCCACTGTTGATGAAGAACATCTCTACATCTTAGAAAAATAATTAAAAATGAAACATTGCTCATTAATTATAATATAAATTAATCTTAAATATGTTAAAACTTACTTTTAAAGTAAACAGAAAGCAAGAAAATCAAAACAAACTTCATTTTCCTCTGAAAATTTCAAATTTAATCACTTAACACTCATAATTATCCCCTATATATAGGCCTATATATAAGATAATTTGCTTAAAAACACCTGTAAAATTATAAAATTAAAATTTTGCTTATTATAAGACCTAAACCTGTTTATAGCCCTATAATAAAATGTATCACCCTGAATACATGGCCCATAATTTTTTAGATAAACTCTTCTATATTATGTGTAACCAAGAATAAATATATATATATATATATATATTATTGTATGATTTATAGAGGGATAATAAAGAGGATTAATATAATTATTTATCTTAATCTGTGACAATTTGACACGTTTTTCCTACCCAACAAATGTACATTGCATAAAGAAAGACACAGCAACTGAAACAAAAATGAATACAAGTTACATTATTTTCGTTTATGCCCTCTGTTTAATGGGTTTTATCTACATTTTATTAAGTATGCTAACAGATAATATATAAACTCCACGACTCTATACGTAGATTTAATGATAAGTGTCAAAGAAAACGAAGAAAAGTATGGATTGGTATGAAATTTATTACATACTTTAAGGTAAGGTTAGACGTTCTTTTAATATAATAATCTGCAGGCGAGTAAACACACCATTAACAATTTTATAATCGTACATAACAATACGCATGCCAAAGGGCATCAAATTGTTCTTTTATCTTCTCTTTAACTCTGGACATCTTAACATTTTAAGAGACTTTAAGTGCTTGAACTTTGACACTTTCTAGCTCGAAAACTATTTTATTTTTTCGACATTTCGAATATTTCTAATAGTACACTTGACGTCCTCTTCCCATAGTATTATTTCGTTTAATTCTTTATGGATTCTGCTTCTATTTAAGCATTCTAAACTAATTAATGAGCCAGATTTAGTGAATGAGCACAATATAGATTTATATACGTATATAATACTATTTTTCTTTTTATTTTCGCCAAATTTTATCTCATTCTGCCGAAATTTTAGGCAGTTAAATATTTGTAACACCTGTAAATGGCGCTTCACCTCATAACAATACTGTATTTAAATGTTATACACGTTAGAAAACCTGGAAAAACCTCAAGTGCTATCCTGTTGGTCAGGAGCGAACCCACGACCGGTTGGTTGGTAGTGGGTTCGCATCAGATCAGGTTGTGGTTGTGGTTACAGTATTTTATTTGTGATGTTTATTAATTTTACTACCGCATGAGGGCGCTGCGGTGTGGAAGCGCGTGGTACGAAAATAAAGCGGCCATTGTTTATTACTCTTTGTTTAAATTATTGTCTTATTACGTAAAATTCAACGATGCTCTTCAAAGTTGGTCTCTTCTAGCGCACGTAGAACTTTTCTTTTGAGATTTGAAAAAACATTATTAAAAGTAAGTCTTGTTTTTTTTTTGTGGGCTACGATCAGCTTATGAAAAGAGCCACGTGGTTTACTACGTGGCTCTTTTCATAACGGGAATTTTTTTCTTTTTGCCGTTTTATCCCTGTGGGAACTAACAGGGCCTTTTGAGCAAGGTTGTTATGAGTTTGGCCAGGTTCAAATTCGTTAGGTGGTGAGGCACGAGGGTCGATATATCCGGACGGGGACCACCCACGAAAAATTCCTGGTGTTTTCGATCTCGGGTACCCTAGAGCAATACGCTGTTCCAGTAAGATGCGAGTTCTGAATGAGGGATTTTTCACTCTTGCAGATTTGTAGATTACCCTGCACGAGCAAAAAAGTCAACGGAACCACATCTGTATGTGTAATCATGCCTGAGATTTTCACCTCCAAAAATCAGATTTTTTGTGAACCGCTACTACTGCTTATTATCCATGCTTCTGTGCTTGTTGTCACTCCCATCTCAGCATGTCCTACACCCCTCTAAAACTATATGACTGACTCAATTCAAGCTCCAAATGACCTGGTTGGGATCTTATCAGAGATGTAGAGCATACCCACAAGCAACCCCCCTTTATGAGATAATCAGGTCACGCAAGTCGCGTTGCTCCGTTAAGACTATCATGTTTAACTATTTAGCCCATGAGATTGTTCTGACTTCAAGTAGCCCACTTGACTGTTCATGCATACTGGATGTTATATACTTTTAGGGGGTGTGGGTTCTTGCCTCCATCCAAACATGTGCGAGCAATAGCACTGAAGCATATGACTGCATGCAGAGTGTCAGTCAAGGCTTGCTGTCGCTCGCCTTGATGACACGGAGCCTGGAAAATAGGAAGTATTAACAGATTAGAGAAGAAAACACCATTATTATGCACAAGTATAAAGTTTAATTGTACAATGTGCAATTAAAGTTTATACCTGTGTATACAATCTGTTAATTTGGAAGTAAATGTGCATTTTTGGGGTAAAAATTGTCATTAAGAGCAGGAAAATCATATTATCATTACATATGCCAGAATTTTCCGCTTATAATCATCTATGCAAACTGGTTGGATTTATGAGGGATTGTAGAGTCTGATATATATTTCTAATGTTAATAAAAGCATATATTTTTTTGTATCTGATTTCTGACTCTTTTAGGCAACATCAAGAATCATTTTTAAGCCTAAAACCTTAATATAATTTATTAAGTAACAAGACTTCCAAAACTAAAGGTTCATCACACTTGTTTTTGCTGACCAAATAGCCCAGGTGGTCTACTGTTCTGGGATTGAATCCAGTTAGGTCAGAACTTCAGGGAATTGTCTATCCTGGATCAGGCTCAGTCTCTCATTATCTGGCTGCTTCATTGTGGTCTTGCCAAGCCTGTGAAAGGCTTGAAAAAAGGCTGTCTTAGTTCCCACTGGACAAAAAGAGTAAGAAAATAAACTGCTGTAATTACAAATATAATCAAACACCAAACACTTGCTGAGCTTACTATTAATTTAAATTAATAGTAAGCTCAGCAAGTGTTTGGTGTTTGATTATATTTGTAATTAAACAGCTGAGGAAGTGAGAATAATGTTGTAATTAGAAATTTTTTTCAGGACTTCATGTTGGCTTTGGATGTATTTGTGTTGAATATTTTAATGGTAAATGACTTCTTTTGACTATTATTTCTATCTGATAAGTAAGTGTCATTTTAATTTTACTTTTTAAAATCAGAAAACAGTAAAAAAAACTTTGAGGCTAAGTCCCAAAGCATGGGATATCTTAAACTAAATACATTTTTTCCTAAATATTCTACTCTAAAATAGGGGTGTGTCTTATCTGCCTAAAATATATATAACAACAAAAAACAAATAATTTTGATTAAAATATCTGATGGTATTTTATACATTCAAGATGCATTGAAGAGACTAATTTTTTCTTTTTATCATCTTCACTTAAAATCATAGGAACAAACAGCCTTGCTTTACAGAGATGACTTTTTATTAGAGGTATAGCCTCTAATGAATTCAGTTTCTTCAATTTATTTTTAATGTTTAAACAGTGGCGTAAGCTGACATTTGATGATAGGGAAGCTGTGCCGACCCCGGATAGAATTATTGGAAGCATTATATGATAATTTGGTGTATAGCATACACCAGCTAAACCACTTGAGGTTGGTGCTCTATAAAGCATATGAGAGAATGCCTGTAATCTGGCTGCTTTACACCATTCAAATATTTTTTCCGTGGAAGCTCTCCTGTATTCAACAATACAGTGCTTCCTTTGTGGGATATGCATATATGACTTTATATTCAAATATACAATAGCAATCTTATTATTGTTTTTTCACATGTAGTATAGAAATTTGTAATAAGATACATAATGCAATTATAATAAAATATTAATTTTAATTAATTCAAAGTACAGTAAAATATGAAAATAATCACACAATATGTATTTATATTTTAGAAAATACAAGTGGTGCTCTGACCACTTCCATTGATGTGTTTAAAATAACATTAGCCATTTTAATTAGGACTAGTTTAAACATTACTGTATACAATTCCATTCAATCTCTGAACAAAATTTTCTCTTGTGATCTTACAGACATTTTCTATTGCAGTAACTTGAAAAATATTTTCAAGTTACTGCAATCCATTGAGTTTTCCTACAGATAAAATCCTTCTTTTTCACTGATGTATTTCTGGTGGAATGTTGTTTCATACATCATCACCTCTACTTGTTGATGTCATGTTTTGACCTCCAGTTTCGTGTGCAGCTTTGCAATTTTTGGTTTCACTTTCTTTTATGTCAAATCATTCAAGGTCTTCTATGGTGCTGAAGGACATCAAATGGACCTTTGAGTGGTAAAACTCACTTATGCTCTTTTGTGGTGTTTAAGGACACCCTCAGACTTTTGCAGCTATTCTCACCTACGAACTTTTGTGATGTTGAGGATACCCATAGACTTTAGAGTGGTACAACTCACTTATTTTGTGGTGTTTTGAGACACTCTCGAACTTTTGCGACGCTTTTCACTCACGGACTTTAGTGGTGCTGAAGATATCCATGGACTCACAGTGACTGTCTCATATGTGTTTCTCTGCTTTCTTACGTATCAATCTTATACAGGATTCTTCAAAGACTTTGATTGAAAATCTTCTGTTAACTGGAACATCGCTGTTCTAGACACTTTCATTGTCACGGGTTTGCTTTTATATTTAAGTTTTAATTGTTAATATAATATTACATAATATTAATTACATAATAAATATTAAGTTTTAATTGTTAATATAATATTACATATTAGCATTTATGCCTTATTGTTAATTGTTTTACAGCAAACTGTTGTTATTTTATCAGCTGTTGTAACATTATTGTTATACTTTGTAACGGTGT